GACAAGGGACAGAGAACAGGAACCTTTATTCAAGCGGATTTTATTGGTCGTGGTGGAAAGTGACCCCTTAACCCCCCCCCCCCCCCCATAGGGGTTCCAAAAGAGCAAGTGATACAATAAGCACACAAATAGAGGACTAGAGCCCCCCAATATGCGAATGGTATGGGCAGATCGACCGAGCACTCTGTCCTTTGTGCAGAGAAATTTGGTTATTCCAGTGAGGATGGGGTAAATGAGGGTGGTTGCACGACTTGAAAAATCCTACTTTTTCTATCTTTCATCACAGTTTCGTGTAGACAAAAGCGAGATCTATTGCATACTATCTGACTCATATGGAAAGAGAAGGGCTTAATAGATGAAAACTATTTTAAAACAACGCATATATTTTTGGCACACATTTTTTAAGAGAGACCTGTCTTTCATTAAGTGATAAAAGAGTTATTGAGGACATTTAATCCAAGATAAAAATTATTTCAACTTCTCATATGATAAGGTTTGCGAAACATATATAAATGATGCTCACCATTCTCTTCCGTTCCTTCAATGGTGGCTCCATGGTTCATCTTGTATCTAATCGTCTCTGATTCCTCAGGCTATTGCGAAGTTTTTGAAACGTAATCAATTAACAAGTAGACATGTACATTGATGTAAAGCACACAATACATCTTCGAAATCTCTATTGCCTGCGGGTAGAGAGAAATTTGTTTTAAAAACTTCAATTTTTTCAAAACTCGATTTTCTAGGTTTCATATTTTGAAGACAAAACGATGGAACGAAATACTCTTTCTACCTATCGATAGCTCATGAAGTTTACTACAAAAGATATTTTTAAAGTTTTTGAACTCGATGCTTCCGTAAGTTTTTATAATCGATCTACAAATGTTGACTGGAGTGGACATTGGGGGTAAAGGGTTAATGAAGAGATTGATGTTGAATCGAATAGAGAGAGTTGCATTTGACTCGATTCGATTCGATTCGATTTGTCTGAGCCGGATCGAACCGAATCGAGTTGAGATGCGGATGTAGAATTCGGTATGGATGTAGAGCTAATTATTCTCTTTCGTCACACTCACTCGACTACATCTTCAGCCATACCTTACCACCATACTTACCCACATTCCCAACAAAAATGAAATAGTGTGCTATGTGTGCTCATTCATGTGGTATAGAACAGTCCGTAAATGCTTGCAAACGACTTCACAACGATGAAATACGGTGATAAAATGATGTCCGTTACAATCATTGTTTATGTTTCAACAGAAATAATCATCGTTAGTTAATGTTTGATCATTTCAGATGGATAAATGTTAATGATCTTATGTAACATTGCAAATTTGATTATACTAGAATGTCTCTATGATGTGCTTTACTGAAATTGATATATCCTGCACTTCTTATCATCTTTAATCTTGTTTAGAAAGTAGCGGGTCCATGTTTTTATGGACCCGAACCCAGACCCAGACCCAGACCCGGGTGATATCAACTTCCCAGATCCGGACTCGACCGGGTCCAGACCCGTTAAGTGTTTCGCCAATATCTAGCACCGTCTGTATATATGAACAAGTGAAGACTCATGGTTTTACCTAATTATTGGCTATTCTCAGAGGAAAAGTTTATGTACAGGTATTTCCTGTTGTTCACTTGTTCATCATGCAACGTGATGCTTAATAATTAAGATTTTATTGCTTAACTGGAAAAAACATTATGGTAACCGAAAAGAAAATTAAAGAATTAATTGATAATCAAAACTGATCATTGAAAATTCTCAAACCAACAGTAACTTATTAATATTCGTCTACTTTTTTTTCATTTTTCTTGTTTTTTTCAACTTCATTTGTTATTTGTATTTAAAATGACTTTTTAATTACAAAATTAAAAATAGCCAAGAAATTTTGAAACAGAATACAGAAAATATTATACGTTGATCTGAACTCTCCAGTACTTAGATTCGCAGTTGAATGCAAACCGGGTCTCAAAATAAATCACATATGGACCCGAACCCGGGTGATATCAAATTTCTAGACCCGGGCCCGGGTGCATTAATTTTCTGGACCGGATCCGGGTCTGGACGGACCCGCTACTCTCTAATCTTGTTTGTTTTATTCATGTGAAGCTCTAATGAACTTCTTTTTCAAGTATTTCATACAACACCCGATAGACTATATTGAGATCTATTCGAAGATATGATGTGACTCGTTCAAAACATTCTTTCCATCATGTTACACAGTGATCGTCCTGATTCTGTTCATCTGGGTATTGAGAAAAGTACGTCGTATTTTCATATGTTTTCTGTTCGTCGCTCTTCTTCATAGATACATAACATTGATGAGAGAGGTCCCGTTCTTTTGTTCTCTAAATATTCAATGTAAAAGTTATTCAAACTTCAATATTTATCTTGTTCACCTTATCCTGATATAGTAGCTTGTAAGCGTCTAAAAATGATGAAAAATGACTGCAATAATTCTTTTATTCAAAAAATGTACGCTACGTGAACGCCATGTATTGATATAAGAAAACTACATAGTTTCTGTTACTTTCCCCATGTCTGATAATTGTTTTTGTATACCCTCTTTCTTCACATATATTAGATCAATACAGTTCTGTATATTAATCTCTATGTACGAATACGAATCATATTTATGAGACAAACGGTTTTATCA